AAATCCCAAGGAATCTTAAAACAAACAAACAAAAAACCTCCTAGAACAAGTGAGTGTATCAAGGTCATAGAATATAAGCTCAACATATAAAAATCAACTAAATGTCTATAAATTAGCAGAGAGTACATGTAAATGGAAATTAAAAATATAATACTATATACATTTGCTCAACAAAGTGAAACACTTAGGTATAAATCTAAATATGCTCAGACCTTATATACTAAAACTATAAAATGCTAAGGAAAGAAATCAAATAAGATCTAAATAAATGCAGAGACATACTATGTTCACACATTGGGAGACCCTACGTGATATTCAGTAACACAATTCCTAGTGAAATCCCAGAATGACTTAAAAATGTACAAAAGTAAAAATAATGGAGGAATCGTCCACTCAATTTCAATGGTTATCACATAACCACAGTTATCATGATAAGGTTGTTCTTATGGAGAGATACATATGTAGATCAATAGAACAAAATAGAGAAGTCTGAAATAGATGCCCACAAATACTACCAGCTGATATTTGCAAAGCTACAAAAGCAATTCAGTGGAGGAAGAATAGTCTTTATCAACAAATTGGGATATCCACAGGCAAAAGAAAAAACAAAAAATGTATGATCTAAACTTCACACTTACATAAAAGCTCAAAATGGGGCATAGTCTTAAATGTAAAACTATAAAACTTTTAGGAAAAAAAGCAAAGGAGTAAATCTTCAGGACCTAGGACTTGGTAGACAGTTCTTAGACATGGCACCAAAAGCATGACCCATAAGATAAAAAATTGAACATTTGTATTTCATCAAAATTAAAAACTGCTCTCCAAAGTATCTTGGTAACAGAATGAAAAGATTGGGATGAATTACTTGCAAACCACATTTCTGATAAAGGACTCATCTAAAATTCATGAAGTCTCAATATTCAACAGTAGCAAAAAACAATCCAGTAAGAAAATGGGCAAAAGACATGAAGAGCTATTTCACTGAAGAGGATATGTGGATGACAAATAATGACATTAAAATATCACTAGTCATTAGGAAAATGCAAATTAATAATACCATGGTGAGATATCCCTACATACCTATGAGAACAGTTAAAATAAAAAATGTTGGCAAAGATGGTAGAAACTGGCTCTCTCATGCATTGCTGTTGGGGAAAGTAAAATAGGACAGCAGATCTGGAAAATAGTTTGACAGTTTCTTTAAAAACTAAGCATATACTTACCATATGAATTAGCAATCACACTTCTGAGCATTTATCCTACAGAAATAAAAACTTATGTCCACACAGAAACCTGTACAAGAATGTTTGCAGCAGCTTTATTTGTAATAGCACCCCAAAGGGAAACAACCAGCATGCCCTACAATAGGTGAATAATTAACAAACTGTGGTATATTCATGGGATGAAATAATTGCAGTAATAAAATGGAATAAACTATTGATACATGCAACAATTTGTATGGATTTCAAGGACATTGTGCTGAGTGAAAAAAGCCAATTTCAAAAGGTCACAAGCTTGTAAGAATCAATTAACATAACACTCTCAAAATGACAAATAGAGATGGAGAATAGATCAGTGGCTGTCAAGGGCTGGGATGGTGTGTGTGGTGGGGAGAGAGGCAGGAGTGATGATTGTGATGATTATAAAGAGATGCCATGAGGAAGATCTTTGGGGTGTTGGAATAGTTCTGTGTGTTTACTGTGCAGGGGCTTCAAGGAATCTACACGTGATGAGATCCCATAATTATAGAAACACTTTATACCAATGTCAATTTCCTGATTTCATCCTACTATAGTTATGTAAAATGTAACCAGTGGTGGATACAAAGTGAAGGATATGAGACCTCTACTGTCTTGCAACTTCCTGTGAATCTATAATTTAAAATAAAAGGTAGAAAAAAACAGATGCCCTGGCCACAACCCAGACCAAGTAAATAAAATATCTAGGGAAGGAACTTAACCAACCGCATTTTTCAGAAGTTCACAAGGTACTTCTAAAGTGTGGCTAGGGTTCCAAACCACTGGCAGCTGTACTGTTACTGAAACTACAGGTGAGTAGCACAGCTGTAAGTGTAGTGCAAGGTAGAAGAGGAAAATTAAATGTTCAAATCAAATCTATTTGACGTCTCTTGAGGGTTTTTCCTCCCCTAATGTTGAAATCTAGCATTTATATGAATGCAAACAATGTGGATGGGATAATCAGTCATCATTATGTTACAGACCATTTTACACAAAACGCTAACCCTGACAGACTGTTCTTTGGATTCTAAAGCATTTGGTATTGGTGTTATAATTTTAAAATGCTAAGGAGCAATTACAATCACATTTAAATATGCAACAATTTTAGAAAATTAATGTTTCACTGAGTCCTCATTTTTGATGGGTAACAAAGTAAGTTCGAGGGTTTAAAAAAGAAATTAACAAACTGCTGACTAGCAAGTTCCTAGCCGTATCCCTGGGAAACATGTGAATGGTAAATATTTCTCTCAACCATGTATTCGAATGTATTAGTTATTTTTATTAACGATCATCAACTACTTCCTAATAAGGTCTCTTTTTATTGAACTGTTCAAGTGTGTTGAAGATGTAAAAGCCAAGGATTATTATAAGTCGATAAATGATGACTCGACCAACTAACTACTTTGTGTGCTTATTAATCATTCCTTAGCACCATCATCAAGATACACACTGTACACCTATTCAGATGGGCCAGAAGATTTCAAGTTTAAGGAAGAGTCCTTTTCTGCCTTCAAGAGTTTTAAGCCTGCTTGAGGACAGGACAAATATATAGACAATAAATAACAAACAAAAAAAGGATATGCTGTAATCTGGACGAATAGAAAGTAGAAAAGGGCCAAAGTGCTTGTTTTCGTGGGAGGTATTTTTACAAGAGCTGGAAAGGGAGTTTGCATCATCTGGGCTCATTGATCCTGCAGATGAGCGGTGTCAACAATGCAGATTTATGCTATCCATGGGAGGGTTTCGCCTAGTTCTCGGTTGTGGACTTACATCCAAAAATGCAGCTGTTTTGAAGCAAGAGATTTGGCAAAAATATGACATGAAGCGTAAGGAATTACCTCCCAACAAACTCTAGTCAACGACTATGTTTTCTTTTCCCCCTCACTTCCAAGGCTTCAAGATCTTTAGATGGGGGTGAGGAGAGGGTGGGAAGAGGTCGCGTTACGCATTTTTGCCCTACTCGGAAAAAAACCTCCAATCAGTACCGTCTCTTTCTCGCCCCTCCCCCACCTCCTTTCTCTTTTCCTTATTTTCCCTCCCTCAACCCCCCCTCCCATTTCCTCTTCCTCTCTCTGAGTATGGTGCTCATACACTCTTTATTCTAATTTATAACATAACTTCCCAGACTTGTTTTCTGTTTTGGAAAGATTTATCCGTTTAGAAGCGTTAAATTCCTAACTATCGTGAAAAGCACAAAGAGAACCACCGCGTTTTAACAGGGGATGGTGCGAATTCTTTTAAAGAAAGTTTTGTGATTGTGGGAGGTAATCAACACCTACTTAGACATTCTTCTCTAAGACAGCTGAGGTTTGCCATTTTCGCTATTATGGCAATGAATTTTTCCTCCTTTGCTTTACGCCTTTTGGCTGGAGCCTCGACTCTGCAGGTGTTAGCGCTGCAAGGGCTGAACCCAACTGCCAGTAGGCCTGCCGAGCCCAGCGTGGGATGCTGCCCAGCAAAACACAGAGCCCCGGGAGCCCGCGACCGAGGAAGGGCGCCTACAAGCACGCTTCACAAGAGACCGGGACCAGAGCCTTAGAAAACTAGAGAGAGTGCATTTCCCGGCAGGGGGAACCCACAGGAGCCTGGAAAAAAGGAAAGAAAAGACAGAAAGAAATCCACCCCCGAGCTCTTAAAACCCAGCGCAAGCAAGCGAAAGCGCGGGCAGGAGAGCTGCTCCAGCTGGAAGTCATTGTGCCGGCTGGCGTCTGCGTTGTCAGGGAGACCGCCTGGCCGGCGCCAGCAGAGGGGGAAGGCGGGCTGGGTGAATGGGTGACGTCACGTGGCCGGCGCCAGGCAGTCTGGGCGGCCGAGCCAATGAATCAGCTGTCGGGGGAGGGAGCGCGGGGCGCGGGGCGCTAGAGGAGGGCTCAGGAATGCTCCGCGACCGCCCGGCCCCGCGGGCGGGCTGGAGGCGCCTCCGCCCCGCCCCGCCTGTCCCTGGAAGGCCGGCGCGTTCTTGGCGGAGTCGGGCTGAGGATCTTCACTCCTCCTACCCGGGATGTGGCTCAGCCTCGCGGTCCTTGCGTTCTGCCAATACCCCACGGGCGTCTACAGGGAGGGCCGGGACTGGGTAGTGGTTCAGTTAGAGAGGGCTTGCTTTGCACTTATTGCGACTTACTCATTTAAAAAAAGGAAAACAAAACTTGTTTCTGTAGATAAGGTAGACTTTGAAAGTGCTGAATTAATTCACTGCGGCCTTACTGTGTTCTGCATTTTGCTGGTATCACACACACAAAGAGGAATCAAGGGGCTTGAAAGAGCTCAAAACTACTGGGAAGAAAGAAATGTAACGAACACATGATGCGGTCATTTTATTCCATTATTCCATTGTGCTGTACTGCACAGTGCTTTTAAGGGTCTAGAATTCAAAGAACTTCAATTTTATTGCTTTTGTATTCAATTTTATGGGGTTTTTTTTCCTTTGTCTTGTCTTGCTGTCTCTTAGACTGACCTCTAGAAAGCCAAGCACTTAGATCATGGCCATTCAGTATCCCCGGCATTTACCGTTCTCTCAGACACGTGTTTAAGGACCCTAAAATATGACGGATAATCTGCAACGCAAAAGCAAATAACCTTTGCGTAAAGGCTTGCATAAAATAAAAGTAAGTATACTTGAATCCCCAAGCAACAGTCTATTTTTTTTTTTTTTTTTTGGTCGTGTTGGGGAGAGTCAGTGTTCAAGATACAGTCCTGGCCGGGAGTCTAGGTTGTAGTGCCATACCAAAAGGTTTCGGTTCCGTTCCTTGTCACAGCACGTACCTAGGTTACTGGTTCCGGGAGCGTGGGCATTGAAGGCAACCAATGGACGTTTCTTTCTGTCTCTTTCTCCTTTCCCCCGCACCACCTCTGTACAATCAATAAACATATCCTCAGGTGAGGATTAAAAAAAAAAAAGATTGGCAATGCATTGTTACTAAAAGTGGAAAACATGAAGATAGATTATAGACGTCAAATCTACCCTCGCTGCTGCAGTCATTTCCCTCTCTGGGCCTCCCTTTTTTCATTTGTAAAAGGAAACTTGGTGAGATATTTTCTTAAGACCCCTAAAGTTCTATAAAGCCATCATTATATTTCTCAACCTTTAAAACTAAATTTTGAGTTTACTATTCCTGTAATTGTATTTGGTGAACACAATGGTCATGCAACAAACAGTCCATGTGAAATGTTAGGTGAACAGGAAATACTAGAAATTTTAGTTATTTTCCTAAAATTAGAAATAGGATTCCAAACCTGAAAATCTTTAAAGATATACAAGAAATAAACTAGAAAACAAAAGATGCTAATAAACTATTATTGGCCATTGCCTCTCAAAGTTTGATGTGCACCTAGTTGAAACAGAGACTTGTGTGAGGGCTGGGATTATGGATGTATAACAAGTACAAGTGATTCTAACCCTAGACCAACTTTGAGAGTCTACACTCCAAAGTAATAAGGAAGTATAGTAAGAATATGATAGATGTAAAGTGGTGTCATTTCCTGAAATCCTGTAGAGGAGGTGAGCTGGAGCCAGGTGACTGGGGATATGCTAGGCTAAGGGAGAGCAAATAGCCTAAATGAACAGCACTGGAGGGAAAAAGAGCAAGAAATAAATAGGGTAGTGGAGATGATTTTGTTTGACTTCAGAAAATATTTGGAGGAACTACAAAAGATAACATTGGGTCTTAACTGGCGGGGTGGGTAGTATGACAATGAACCAAAGAACTCAACATTTTTGAGCTGAAAAGTACCTTAGAAGTTATCAGTCCCACTAATTTGAAGTCGATGAGGAAACTGAAGAGAAAAATGATTTCATTAGGCAATGACAGAGCTCAGAGTGGCAGCCATGCTGAGGTATTTAGATTGCATACATTCTGTAGAGAGCAGTGGTTGATAGAAAGAAAAGCAATTTGGTACTGTTACGCAAGGTAGAAACATGAAGAATGAAGCAAGAGAAACTGAACTATAGGAAATAATTTAATAGTCCAAGCATGGAATTTTAGGGCTTAATCTAAAAATTTTTGTTTCTGAATACATTATAATGGCTGGAACCAGCTGATTAACTCATTTTTCCTGTAATATAATTCCCTCCATCCTTCTCATATTCTAATCCAATGTTTTTCAAACCCTGAGTCCACATCAGCATCACCTCAGGAGCTTTTATAAAAAATAGGAATGCTCGGACTCCACCCCACACAAATTTAATCAGACTCTCTGGGAGTGCAGTCCTGGCATCAGTATTTTTAAAAGCTCCCCAGGTGATTATAATGTGCAGCCAGTGTTGAAAATCACTAATCTAATATATAGTCACCAGCTCATTCCATAGACTGCATTTCTGCCCCTGAACATTTCCCCTAGTGTTAACTATTACACTAGCACTAGATCATTTTTAATACTTGGTCTGCTTTGTAGTGATTTTGATGGTTTATAGCACATATTCTAAGCTCATTGTCTTCTATCCCTCATTAACTGTCATGGCTGAGTTGTGAACATATCCTGATATCCCTCATTGGCAAGAAAAGGAAAAAAGATTTGGCTCATTATTGGATGGAAATGATAAACCTGGTTTATGAACCTATGTGGTACCATAGTGGAGCAGTGTGTTGCCTTGCAGTTATTTCACTTGGTTTTATCTTAGCTTTAACAATCTCTATGAATAGCCTCCTTAGAGATGATAAGAGATAAGTGTTTAAAATAGCACTTGGACCCTTGGAACTTTTATTTTCAATCTTCTCTCAAAAATCATTTCACTTTTTGATGTGAAAAAATTCTAAAAGTGAGAATTCTTCGTGGCTTTTTCCTTGGTGACTAACTTAACTTTTAAGCCGTCATCGATTTATTCATTTCTCTAAAATTGAGTATCTATCATGTGTCAGGTATTTTTTTTATGTGAGGATGCCAAGAAAAGAAAAACATTTTTTCTGTCCTCAAAAAGGAAAGATAAGCACAGTTAATTTCAGGATATTGTATTTATTCAGTTTGGACATTTAAAAAGTACTTGGGGTACTGTTGCTTGGATGCAGCTCAGCAGTCAGTCACGGAATAAAGGATAGATGGATCAGAAAAAATAAATTAAATAAAAAGTACTTGGTTTATACACTACCTTATAACTGCATTCTGTGAATATTATTTAAAATTCAATTCACTCAGTTATAAAATAATATATTCACATGTTCAAAAACTAAATAAAGAATATTTTTCCTTTCATTCTTGTCCTACATCTGCCTAATTTCCTACTCACACCCCACAGAAGTCACTACTGTTCATTTCTTGGGTACCCTTTCAGAGCATTTAAAAATAAACACTACATAAGCAAGTAGAAATACATTCCCATTTCCCCCACTTTATGCTATTTTGTATCTTTAAATGTAAAAATATTAAATTTTAATATTTTTTTCTATATAATCACATTCTTTTTCACTTTGTTATTCTTCCACAATATCCTATTGATGGTGACCTAGGTTGCTTCCTAGGTCACCATCAGCTCTGTAATCTCTTATTACAGAGCTGAAAAAAATAACCCCACCTCTGTGTCATTTTACATGTGAGAGCTTTTTTTGTAGGTTAAATTCCTACCAGTGAAATTACTGGATCTTTAAAGAGTATATATTAATATTACTGACTGCTTCTTTAAGATACATTCCTAAGCATGGGATTGGTGGGTTGAAAGTTATAAATATTTTTAAGGTTTTGATATGCACTGACAAATTACCATTTACAAAGTTTGTATTGATTCATTTTCTCACGTGCGTAGCATATAAGCACCCATTTATCTGAAAACTTGCCAGCACTAGAAACTATCACTTTTCTTTTTTTATAGTTTTTTGTTTTTGTGGTAGGTGACAATATATGTATAAATGATCAATATAAATATATATTTATATAAATGAATATATTTATGTTATATAAATCAATATATTTAAATTATATTTTATAAAACATACTTATTTATATATACACATACGTTTATAAATTGTATATACAGACAATTTTAACATGTATGTGTATAACAATTATTAAATAGCTTGAACTTGAGTCCATATATTTATTATCTATTCATGACAAGGAAATTGTTAGTTCATTTTGATTGTCCAACTTCGAAAAAATTTTTTCTTACCGATTTGCAAAAAATAGATTATATCTATTAATATGAACAATAAGGACATATTTATTACATCCCTTTCTTGTTACAGGCATTGTGCTAAACATTTTTAATTGGTTTTGAATATTGTAAACATTTTATCTGAGTTTAGTATGTGTCTTTAATCCTTACTGAAACAGTATTTCCACTTTAAAACTTATAGAGGCTTTAAAAATTATGAGATAAAATAAATTATTTCTTTTATTTATTAGCTTTAGATATTCAAAAAGTTTATGCCACTCTAAAGTCAGACTAGCATTTAACTTTTTTTCTAGCTCCTATAGGACATTAAATATTTTAATACCCAAATCAATCATTTTTACATATATAAATATGAGTATTTATGAATGGTTAGCTACCTACAATATAACTATCTTTTCTGTTTTAAGAAAACATTTGCATCCTTTTATAAAAATTTATTTTTAAATATATAGATAACTAAAAAATGGGAGCAGGGGCCAGGATTATCCACAATCCCACCAACCTGAGACAATCCCTATTAACATTAGAACATTCCAGCCCTGTCTGTTGTAGCTCAGTTGATTGAGTGTGGGCTGCAAACCAAAGGGTCCCCAGTTCGATGCCCAGTCAGGGCACATGCCTGGGTTGTAGGCTGGGTCCCTGGTAGGGGCCACTTGAGAGGCAACCACACATTGATTTTTCTCTCCCTTTCTCCCTCCCTTCCCCTCTCTCTAAAAACAAATAAATAAAATCTTAAAAAAAATTAGAGCATTCCAAATTGTATTTTTTATAACACATTATAAACACATTTTAAAACACATTATATATATAATGTGTTTTTATAGAAAAATAGCATTATGCTATGCATGTATTTTGTGACCTCCCTCCATGTTTTAGCCACATGGAGTGAATTTCTTTCTATGTGGGTCACTCTATATTCTCATCATTAGTCATCCATTTGGATGGAGGAGACCTCTCTAGTGAAATACTTTCACTTCCCAGAGAAGGAAACCTCTACAGAATCATTCCAGGAAAAATTTTACCTGCCTGTTTGATGTTCATCTGGTCAGAATTTTCTAAGGCAATTTCATCTCACTGTTTCTCAAAGATTTCCCTTTTCTTTGAGAGCCTGCCAGGACAAAAAAATGAAGAAGAAAAGGAAGAAAAGAAAAGAAAGAAAAAAGGCTTTATAGTGGTCAATCATTAACCTGCCCCAACAAGAGAGACAACTCAGAAACAAAATTAAAATCACTTTCTTAGCAAGGCTTGGTTCAAAATATTCTTCTAGACTAGGTTTCCTTAGTTTGTTTTCCCTATTCTTTTCCACATCTCATTCTCTTCCCCCTACCCTTTCTATATGCAGGTTTCCTTCCTTTAGATAATTTTAAACATGAACCCCTTATTTATTTCTCAACAAATATAATGATATGATTTGCTCTCTCAGATATCTGACCTTAGGTCTGTTGTAGCTGCAACACTAGTACAGGCCATTCCATCCATTATGAATGCATTCATGTGTGTGCCAGCAACAGTAGGCCGGTGGTAATGTTACCTTATTCTAGAGACTCACCTTTATGAATAAATAATGATATGGTTCTGTAAAATGCCTTCAGCAAAAGCAGAGAAACCATTCCTTCTCAAAAGACTGAACAGTTTAAAAAATAAAAATTGATACCAAAGGTTCATCAATAGGATATATACCATTTATGTGGAAAAGAAAAAAGACAAAGAAAGAAAGAAATGAACTGGAAAGTCTATAATGCTAAATTGTGTAGCTGAAGTTCTTCATAGGGCAAGTGCAAAATCTAAATGAACAGATCATAGAGTGTAAAATAGATTCTTGGATATGCAAGGACACTTATCTCTCTACCTCCAAACATGTTTCACGTGAAAAATAATTAGTTTACTATACTTAAAAATCTGAGATAAAGATATATTCCTATCTATTAAGATAATATTGAAAACCTGTAATAAATAATATCAATGAGAATGTAACTTAGTATTACATAGGATAGATTTCTATTATTTAACATTACCTTTTTTTCCTGTCTTAACTAATTCACATTAGACTTTTGTATTAAGCTAGATATTCAAGTCTAGGTACTAATTTAAATAGCTTCATGCAGTATAGTGAGTGCTAGCTTCCTGAGATGATCTGTTCTGCTCTGCATAATCTAATCCTATTTCTAGCAACATAGAAAGTGCTTTGTGGTTGCCACTAGAGGGCAAATAGCCTTCTGGACTTCTCTTTGACCAAAGAGCATCTTAGCCCAGGCAGCCAAAGTTTTAAGGTCTCATATAACTAGTCTTAAGTCTTATATTGCCAACTTCTAGTCAATCCACAGGCTCAGCAGGCTAAGAACATTTAAAGGGAAGATTTAAATGTGCTCTTTTACCATTTTACCAAATGGTCCATTTGGGATGATGGACATCTTCCCTGTGTGTACTAACTCCTGACTTTCTAATCCTACCTAGCCTTTCTGATGATCTAGATCTTAAACCCCACTGCGCTGCCAGCAAGGTGATCTAACCTCACAGCATTCAACAGCATTCTTAGAACTTAGAGTGACATAAAAGGTACTTTCCAATCTCACTAATTTCTGCTTACATTTCCGGTCTCACTTCCTGCCACTCCCTCATATTCCCTCTACTCTGCACTACTTCAGAATTACTTGCAGTTCCTTAAATATTACGTTATTTTAGGTGCCCCTGTCTTTGCTCCATCTATTACTTCTATCTGAGATGCTGGCATTACCCACCATACATTATTGAAGACACAGTTCAGATATTACCTATGAGAAGCCTTCTAGCCTATGCTGATTGCTTTCTTGCCCCTCTTCCTGTCCCTTAAGTAATAGATCTGGTTTCTCACTTCTCTATGCTCCTCCAGCATTTTATACACACCTATTAACAATGCTAACTCTGGTATTGTGATTATGTCTAGCAGAATATCAGCATTCAATCTATTTTGATATGTAAACTCAACTGTTTTGTCTTTTTTCCCCCCTGCATTAGATATTGTTAGGAGTTCTGGAGGAAGGATGGAATGCAAACAACTCCTTTCCACTCCAAGATGCAGATAGCAGGCAGTCATGATGTTTGAAGACTGAGTTCTCACCTCCCTTGAGTGAGTGGGTACAAAATTTCTGCAACTAATAGTTTGGACTTCACTGCTAGTTAAAAGAAGCAATTAGGACTTTAGGCATAAAGAAATATCTGGAATCTGGAGAGATTGGGTAGACCAGAAAAGGGCTGCAGAGGCCAAACATCACCACCCAGAGTCAGGAAAGTGGTATGAAATAGAGCTGCTGCCTGGAGGCACCCCTGAATGGGCTCAGAGAAGAGCCCTGAGGGAAGCTCCGCTGCAGTGCCCAGGAGCTGTGCCAAGGAAACTGCCCCGTCCTCAGCACGGGACTCTTAGTTGATGGGAGTTCTGCCTCAACTAAGTGAATGATCTCGAGGTGTGATTCTCACTCTATGATAAAGTCTTTTTGTCTTTTTTTAGAGAACAACAAACTACTCCTTAAAACTATCAAAGATCATTAAAAATAAGGCGAGCCTGAGAAACTATCACAGCCAGGAGGAGCCTTAAGGAGACACAGCAACTAAATGTAGTGTGGTGTTCTGAATGGGATGCTAGAACAGAAAAGGACATTAGGTGAAAACTAAAGGGATGTGAATAAATAGTAGACTAGTTAATGCAGTGTGTCAAGATTGGTTCATTATTTATAATTATATATTTATCATACCAAGGTAAAATATTAATAATAGTAGAAGCTGGGTGTGCCATATATGGAATCTCTCTGTACTGTTTCTAATGACTGTAAATATAAAACTGTTCTAAAAGTGAAAGTTTATTAAAAAGAAAGAGAAGGAGGAATAGGAGAAGGAGAGGAGAAAAAAACCACAAACAAACTTACCTTCGAGAAACCTCCTCCCAAGCCCTCAGGACACTGGAAGTGCCCAGGGCACAGGGACCCCTGAGCGCCTAGCACGCAAGAACTAATGACACTGGTCGATATCCCCAAGTGCCTGGTTTTTTAATGTCATCAAATAGTACTCATGGGATTAAAATTTCTTTCCAATAAGGAAGTAACAAAAGATAGTAAAACATGTTTTTCTTCTGAGTATGTATATATGCATATATATATATATATATAGTGTGTTTATATATATAGTTTTCTTCTGAATACATATATAGGTGTTTTTTTTGCTTAAATTACAAAAAGTTTTACTGGAGTTCAACAGAGTTTACTCTAACATTTAGAAAGCATGCTGTGAGATAAACTATTATCTTACTACACAAAATAATATAAACTCCATTCTTTAATAATATTGCCACTTTTCTGATGTTAACCTAGAGGCAAACCATCTTTATAATAATGAGATGTTAAAACTGCAGTACAAAGTACTTAAAGAGAGATCATGTAGAAAATCATGTCTAAATAGTTTCAAGTAAAGAAAAAATGTTCAATTTTTTTATATAAAAAGAAGCAAACATATTACAATTCTCCTGGGTACTAATATTTAAAGTGCATAGTCTAAAAATAAAAGGTGCTCTTCTGATGAACTTTTAATATAAAAATTATTCTCTAATTTTTTTAGTTTACTGGAAGTTTCTTGATAAATGATATTTATCAGATAGCATTTTATCCATGAGGGGTATTTCAAAATAATTTGGAATACAGACATTGTATTTTTGAATTGTGCATAGCTCATGATATTTGTCTTTCAAAATGGTAAGGTATAGTAGGAACTTACATTTAAAGAAGAAGATGCCAAAGAAAAGAAAGATGACCTGAATATAAAGGTTTCAGAGAATGAATTTAAAAGCTTTCCCTCTGCCAGCATCCTGTGCATTGACCAAAGCAGCTGGGGGTCTTGCTGATGACTCAGAACTCTGCTAAACTGTCTTGCTTAACACAAGGGAGGCTATCAACCACACAAATATAAAGCTGTAACCCACTCTCTTTTTACTTTGAACAGACAATTCATACTGATATTTTATTCTGGACATATTGTCAGAAATGTAAAAAGGTCATTTTTGATACTTTCAGAATAAATTTAAATCAATGCTGTTCTAAAATACACTCACTATCAGATATATATTTAAATATATTCCAGATAACATATTAAAATGTATTAATACCAGATGGTGGTAATTAATTACATGGAATAAACCCTCTGTTTCTCTCTCAAAATAAAGTAAGAGAAATGAATATAAGGAAAGAGTGCAGAAATGTATGTGGTTGGAGGCAACAGGGTGGGAAGGGCTCTAGGTGATACACAGAGGAAAGAAGACTGGGTAGAAACCCTCTCTGTGCCAACCACTCTACAGGTGAACTTCCATACCTGCACTAGGGGTCTACTATGCTTAGAAATTTTATGTGGCATTTTCTAATTTAAAAAACTTCAACAAATCAATTATGCGTATTTTAGAACTTAGGACTGTGATGTTTAGAGAGTTTGGTAACTGGTCCAAGGTCACCTACACAGTAGAATCAGACCCAAGTATCAAAACTAGATGTATTTGATTGTATAGACCTGCTGTACTATCACTTAGCATATCCCTGTCAAAAAATTTTATGCCTGATTTTGGAGATTTTGGTAGGTTAATTCATACCTGTCAAGAGCTATTAAAGGTTGAACTCATTGTTGAGGCTAATTGAACCTCATCAATGTCTCAAAATTTTTTTGTATCTATAATTTTTGCTACATTTTGTGGACCATAGAGAAGGATATCACTGCTTTTGCCAAATGCTTTATGCTGTACTATAAACCAGAACAATATTGCACTGGTGCCCCTATACCACATCTGCACTCAGAATGTCTAGAGCAGTGCTTGAAATCTGATATCCTGTGTATGTATTTTTATGGCCCAGATAGTGTTTTAATTGTATAAATTTGGGCGGCTTAATTATTATTGTTTCTAGTTCCCTGTAAACTTTCCATCTTGTCTTTTGATTTTTTTAAATATAAGTGGTGGTGGTGCTTTTAAAGTCTGTGTCTGAAATCTCCATGACCTGGATTACCTGTGAGTCTGTTCCTCTTGTCTGTTTTTCTTCTGGATTTTGGTCACATCCTGTCTCTTTGTTTGCCTGATTATTATTGATCACCAGACAATTTTTG